ACCTAATCAAGCAGATCATTAGGCAAGTGTCAAACCTGGTGTGAAAGAGCTGAAGGTCATTGCACTTGGTAAGATGGGACACCTCCTTTTAATGGTCCTGGCATCCCCAAACAAAAATATAAATCGGATCTAAAGTTCAGTGACTTTTTCAGGTACAGTGGCAAGCATTTAGCTGCAAATGTGCTGAGAGGGATATAAAGAGGAACTAGAAATGGATATGTATGAAAAGAACGTGTTCTGTTGGAGAAGACTCTAGGGAAATAACGAAGGGTGACTCAGGTTTATCTCATTTGAAGGCGAGTGTTTTTCTAGATAAGATGGTAGAGTTTAAGTTTCCATCAGTGTACTGGGACAAACCAGCAGGTTGTGTTTGTAAAATGTATGGCCTACAGGGTGGAGAATCGATGGAGGTACAGAATCTAGGAAGGCTTTGTCTAAGACGTGAAATCTGAATGAGCCTTGGAGGGCGTGTAGATTTGGAATAGGAAGGCACAGGGCTGTGGCAGGAGGTAACCAGGACCTTCCTGGTCCTAATGTGAAATGGCATGGGCTCAGACATCACGGGGCACTTGCAGGACAAGGACAGCAAGCACTTCATTGTAGCCTGAAAGCAGAATCCGTGTCTGGAGAGGTCAGAGACTGAAGTTTGCTTGTGGCTGAGCTGCTCTTGATTTGGTGAGGTTTTGCGGGGAGAACGCAATGATCTGTGCTTGACTTCGGAAAGACCAAGATCATCGAGTTTCTGGCACACAGACTGAGTAACTTTTGTAACGACAACCCCCAAAGTTTCAAAAACTAGGCAGATGAAATTTTTCCTTCCAGGTTTGGACGTTAGAGACGGCTCTCAGGGTGGGGTGGATGAGGCTTGGCTCTCAACTATGGGTGCCAAACTGACAGGGTCAGAGCAGCCTTCTGGTCCTGCAAAGGTCGGGCCAGACTGCGCCTCTGTTCTTACCTCTGAGGGCAGGTCTTATGCCGAGGCTACCGTCAGCTCTTCCTTTCAAGGTTACAGAATTTGCCTGAGCTCTTTCCAACCTTTCTTAGTAGAGCCTTAACTCTGGTTTTGAACTTTAATCCTGGTGTAGCTATGTCTATTGTTTATGATGTTTAAGAGTTTATCTTTGGGCTCAGGCTCTGCCCTCCTAAGCACTGAGAGTCGCTGCTCACTTCCAGACACGCGTCTTTCTCCCAGGCTCCAGTTCATGCTTCTGTGTTTTCTTCTTGGTACAGAGCTCTGATCTTGGACAAGGACCATCAACCACCTGCAGTGCATATCCCTTTAGAGAGGAATTGGAGGTTTTCTCCCATAACTCCTTTCACTGATACATTATTCATGTTAACTTTAATTTGTTCTACATCCATGAAAATGCTTACTTTGACTTTTAGCACAGGGCCGATCGGCATCTTATAATGGGCGTGCCATACACACACAAGAAATTTTAAGAGACTTACTTATGAAATTGTGAATAATACCGTAATCTTCTAGGAAGCAGTTAAGGGTAATATTCACTTCCTAAGTTTATGAGTGAGAAAACTGACAAGTCACTTTACCCCGTACATACTTTAGTCAAAGTGAAAAGTACTTTGAAGAAAAGATTACAAATTCTAGGCATGAATCTTCAGTGCTTTTGTTACCTCCTCTGGAAACTCAAGAATTTGGCCTTTACCTTAGAGATGGGTGATTCAAATCCTGACTTTGTGTAAATATAATCTCTTGCTGCAAGCTTTGTGCATTGACTGTTTTATTCTTTGGGGATTTTCCTCAGTGTTTCCATTTATGCTATATATCTGTTCCTCCTCCTTTGACCTCTGCACTGAGAAGAAGTAAAACATCCTGCATTAGCATGACTTGCTAACCTGACAGGTAGTATTTAGCCATTGATTTATGGTTTCTAACCTACATTAGTTTCCATCCCTCGCCACGCATCATGGAGACCCTGTGTGCTCCGAAGATGCTCGATGTTTTTAATGGATGTGAACTTAACCATTAATGTAACATCGCTGGTTTAATGCAGATACTTCTGTTAAATGACAATATAATTACTAGTCATCGGCAAACCTCAAAAAGGTTGGGAGGTTCGGTTCAGTTAAACACCCGAAAGCTCAGATCCTTATCTGAAGTTTACCCCTTTGAGTTTGGCAAGTCCAGGCTGGAAAACTCTCCAGATCTGTCTAACATGAGATTTCTGTCAGCAATTCCCTTGTTCTCTTTCTGAATTTCAGAACCTCTAGTTTTCAACCTTCGTTTCTTGAGTACCGTACCTATCGTGCCACATTCAAAGACACAATGGTCCCCACCAAATTTAGCTCAAGGAAGTGGAAGACAAGGTGGAGAAAACAACTGGAGAAAAATTTTATGTTGGAAGAGAAATGCTCCTTTCTTGTAGTGTTAGAAATTGTTTTGCCTCCCTCTCTTTCCCAGATTCTTGTTGAAAATGTTTTCTGCTACAGTTTTTTAACCATTTCCTCCTGACATCACAGCGGGGCAGGAGGGCACTGCTGAAGATGACTCAGAGTTATCTTATTTGAAAACAAGTGTCTTTTGTTTTCCTAGAAAAAAGTATTAATGCTTCAACTTCTTTCAGTGTACTGGGACAAGCCAGCCAGCTATGTACTTCAAAAAATAATTAAAATACTGTCAACACTGAGTGTTTTATGTTTAGTTTAGGAGGTAGGTGGCATCAGTGGTGGTTTTTCCAGTTGTATGTTCCTCTAAGTAATTTTTTTTTTTGTCTTGCTTTTGTTGTCTGTTCCACGAGATGGTTTTGAAAGGAGAAAGAACCTTCGGTACATGTGTGCATCTCCCTCCGGCTTGGAGAAGTGATATGGTCAGCTGTACCATGTGATGATTTTTGAGCTCCTGAAGGAAAGGAAGACTATGACATAGTGTAGCACTTGGTTCTCCAAGTGACACTATCGCACATTGAAATGCACGTATGGTGCTTGTAAGGAGACTCAAAGATTCTTAAAGATTCATTTAGAAAGTTTGGCTTCATGCTAGAGAAATTTTAGCTGATATGGAGTTCCAGTGATGATATTGCCAAGTCTTACTGTCCAGCTTCAGCTTGGGGAAAATGTACATTGCTTTTGTTTTGAGCAAGATTTTTGAAGTCTTTTCTAAAAGATGTACAGATCATGATTTTAAAAAGTAATAGAGTGCTACTAAAACCCAAACAGTGCTACGAACTTAGAGTCCAGTGGTATAATTTTGACCTTAATAGAAAAATTTGGAGGAGAACCTTAGACAAACACAGATGGTTGATTCCCTAATGTGGCATCTTGACACAAAGTTATGATTCTTACATAAGTGCTATGTCTTGTTCCTTCCAATTTATTGATTTATTTCTGGTAGTTTGGGCACTGTTGTATTTCTACAGCTTTTGTAAGGCTGGAATATACTGGCCTCTGTCTCTCCTTGGGGATGGCTGATTCCTTCCTTGCAGACCGTGCATGTAATACCAACTAGAGAGTTTGCCTTTTACCTGGCTGTGTCCAAAATTCATAAAGTTATTGCAGATAACCTTAATTGGGTGTGCATTTCGACAAGCACTGCACACACAAATTCCAGAGGCTTGCCTTACATAATGCACTAGATGCACAAAATCATTACTAACCAGAAGATGAACAGCAGACTCCTTCAGAACTCACTACCACGTTAGTTAGTGGGAATTCTCACCACCAAAGACAGGGCGAGGCCGTGGCCACAGCCCATCAGAAGTGGCTGACTCTATCACCATCTTTAAGCCTTGTTCTCTTGTGTTGGTAAAAAACGAGGGCAAGGTGAGCCTGGCTTCTCCTCTGGTCGAGCATCTTTGTTTTCCGTGGCAGGCTTTAAAAGGGTATTCAGTAATGCAACCAAGGAGGGCTTTTCCATCATTTAAAAAGGGCTCATTATACTCTGCAAATTGGTGAAGTGCAAACAACACTGAGAGGGTCTGGGTTCCCACATAAATTAGCTCAGTTTGTGCAAGATGAAAAATGCTTTGGCCCTAACTGCCAGCACTACAAACACAGCCCAGCTTGGAAAAAAACAAGGTGTGCCCGCTGCACCTCTTACATCACTAGCAATCATAAAGATGCTGTAATTAAAACGTAGCTGACAATTTGCTTAATGATGTGCGAGGCAGAGGAGAATCCAAGCAGGGACCCCATGCGTGGTTCACCGCGGTCTCTCGCCAGTCCAGTGGCAGCAGCCCCAGCTGGGCCCTGCGGACTCTTCTGCACTTGAGAAAAGGGTGACTCACCCAGAGACGGAGGGAGGGGAGTGAAGCCAAGCCGCTGCCTTTAAATCAGCAAGACCATTTTCACCATAATGAGTTTGTGTGAGTAAGAAGGTGCTTAGGGTGTTTGGGAACCATTCATTTATAATTAGCCAGGTAGAATTTAAGAAAATTAAACGATCCTCCACAATATAACTTGGACCAATTAACAACTTTAATTAGTTCACCATAATAATATGAGGTACGATTTCTAATTTAGTCTTCTTACTTCAGAATTACTATCATTATATAAGAAAAGACTCCTTTTTTCAAGTTGGTGGGACATGAAGGTTCAATTGGACCTGACACAAGGCAGCCAGTCCAGATCTCGGGATAAGCTCCCTAGTCCAGGTTGTGCCGCAGATTCCTCTCCGACCCTTGAGCAACCACTTGACCCCATCACTTCCTGATCTGCAAAATTAGGAGTTCAGCTGCCACTTCAGAATGATTTAGATTTGATTCCTGACATGCACTCTACTTTTGCAAAATTTGGAAACACTCTAGGTACTTCCAGGATTAATAACAAACCAGACCTCTGTCTTATGAGGGAAACGTTTAAAAGTTACAATCAGTGTTGAATTATACAAAGAGACAGACAGTAGACAAATCTTAGAATCTGACATCACTCATCTCCCCTCTGAAATTTCTAAATGATTTCATTGTATTCATTTATCAAAACAAATCGCTTTTGAGTCAAAACTAGAGGAGTGCTTGTTTAATTTCATTGTGTGGCCCTTTTAGGGACATTCACTGGACATCAAAAGCTCATGAATGTGGAAAATGCTTTCTTGGAGGTGTTTTTGGCGATATGACACATCTGCTTGAACTGTGAGTTTCCAATGAAAAGCATGTGGGGTTGACTATAACGCCAATCCAGTTAACCAGATCTTGGGATAAGCTCCCTAATTACTCCCTCGTTACTTCTAGAAAAGCAGGTCTACAATAAGTGGGGAAGTAATACAGCGTTTTGTTCAACTCAAGAATGGGGTTTATATCTGCTGAGATTCAAAGCTTATGTGTGAATGTTAAACAGTTTCAAAAATTGGTTTATATGACCATTGTTGGAACTTTCTTTCATTATCTGCCAATACTGATAAATGCTACATATAGAGTAAACTATATCAACTTTGAGAAGAACAGCAATGGCTTATATTTTAATAGTTTTAAAAGGAATACATTGTTTTACTTTAATTCAATTGAATTATTATTTTTCCCACAGGGTTTTGTAACTTTTTTATCTGTTTATGTTTGTCTTGGTACTTTTAGCCTTTTATTTACAATATTATGGCAAATAACTTACTTATTGAAATGTGATCAGTAGAACAAATATCCCAGATTATGATTTCTGATGATACTGGTCATAGAAAGGACAGAAAAAGAAATGGATATATTTTGGAGTCAAAAAATTCTGAATTTAAATCCTGCTTCTGCAATTTATTGGCAGAATGACTTTGTTAGTTATTTAATCTCTCTGAGCTTTAATTTTCTCATCAACAAAGCAGGAATACTAAAGGCCCTCTCTCCTAATCGTTGTGTGAATTAAATAACATCGGAGGATGGTGACATGACTGATTCAGAAGGTACCATGTAACTGGCATTGACCGTATCATAACGTACTATGTACAACTTGGCGGTGTTTCTTATTCAGCTTTGTGTACCAACGCTTAGCTTCTTTCCTAGTGCATAATAAGCATTAAAAAAGTTTAGTGCATGATTAAACAAAATGATGCTTTTAAGAAACAGATCTTAACCATTTTGCCCTTTCACATGCATCGTCTCATGTACCAGAAAGATACTAGAAATGTAGAGAAATGTCCAACATTTGATGACAAATGAGTAAATATAACTTAAAGATATTGGCAGGTTTTCCAAAATAAGACTCGTGATTCTGAAAGTTAACTGAGCCCATTTATTTCTTAGTAGAGATTTTTCACATTTAACACACTTCTTCATACAGATTCATTGAAATAATCAATAAAAATTATCTAAGGATTTATCTTAATAAAGTTAAGATAATTCATCAGACTGACTTATCGGCACTTACAAGGCACAAACAGCCAGTTAAACAATGGCTTGTAAGTGTAGTTCAATTTCTCAATACTGCCCTCAAATATGCCGTGCCAAAGATGTGTAACCACTAGCCAGTAGCCAATAGTGCTAAAGAAAAAGAAAGCAGCATGTTTTCAGTAAACTTTTATGGATTTAGTGGTTCATCCTTTTATTCAGACACCCCTCAACAGTTTTCTGGGTTATGCATCAATGCATCAACCATGTAAGTCAAGAAGAGAAGCACAGTCTTGTTTGAGAATATTTTCGTGGTCCGTACTTTTGCGGTATGGTCAGGAACTAGGATGATACACTAAAATTTATCTGCAGAGAAATGTTAGTACTCACTCAGGTAGCTCTTGACAAATGTGGAGGGAATCATGAGTTCTCTTGTTTCTATGAGCAGCAACATGGTGATAGCGAGGGCTGCGGAGCGGAGACAGCGAGGGGGCTGGGGAAACAGTGGAGCGGAAACGGAGGCTAAAAGACCCATGTAAGAACTTCTCTGCCCCAGAAGCGCTATTCTTGACCAGTTCTTCCCACTCCACCAAAAATTATAATCTGGAACACTCAAAACTTTTAAGCATTTCAATACTATTTAGTTGGTTCTTAAGAAAAACTTTATGAGAATAGGGCTGAATCTGTAGCTGGAGGGTAAAAAGTACACGCCTAGCATGTGTGAGGGAGACCCCAGTACGACCCCCAACAAATAAACAAAAGCTCAGGGGCTGGGGATTTAGCTCAGCCGCACAGCGCCTGTCTGGCAAGCGCAAGGTCATGAGTTCGATTCCTGGTACCGGAAGAAAAAAAAAACAAAAGCAAAACAAAAGCTCAGAAAAGCAGATAAACAAATAAACCATTTTAAGAAAGTGGAGAGGGGCAGACGGACTATTATCCAGATTTCACATGGAGGGAAGTTAGACACAGTACATGTTTGTGACTCATCTGTGCGGCGTGTCCCAGGAGGAGTGTGGAGGGGCAATCACTGACCTAAGAGGCAGGTGAGACATTCTCAGAAAGTGGCACTACTGCTAGAATCTTCATTGTTTGACTGGGAGATCTTCATCCAGTAACCACTTGAGCACTTTTATTCTCCCCCTGCCTTATAGTCCAGCAGTCCACTTAGTCAGTCATTTGATTTCCCAGCTGCATTACTAAAAATAAATGGATGAAAAGAAAACTTTTCTTGGCAGGATGCTTGACATTTTGTCTTCTCGAAGGCTTTCTGATGTGCTTACTGAGAAATGGCGTCGGCAGGGTGGACCTCCGGAAAGCCTCTCTCCTTGGGGCCACCCCTTTCCGCAGGTACCTGACACTGAATTTAAGTAGAGGATCATAGGAGAAGCACAAGCCACGGCTTAGTAGGGCATGAAAAGGGCACGGGGAGGTGTACGTTTCTGTTATGGCTGTGGAAAGAAGAGTGCCTTGAGAGATTCATAGTAACCTATTATCTTTAGCTTTTATTATAGAGTTTACAAATGCAAGCATATATTGGGTTTGGATTTTAGACTTTGTGAGGAATTCATTGATAAAGTAAAGGACCCTAGAAATACAATACATGGGATTTTACCTTGTTATTCTTTTAAAGAAGGAAAGTCAGATTTAAATATCTAGGATCAATTTCTATTCAGCTATTAACTAACCACTGGCAGAATCTTCTGTCTCCATCCCTTTCTGCCTAAAGCTTCCCTCAGTTCCTTCTTTTTCCTCTCCCTCTCTCCTGCCATGCCTCCCCTGCCCTCCCTCTCTCACTTACCCCTTGCTTTTCTTCCTTCTCTCTTTCCTCGTGTCTCCTTCCTAATCTTGACCTTTTCTGTACAACTCTTCATTCAGATTTCTCCTGTACTGTGTACCTGCGGTGGGTCAGGAACCATTCTAGTCTCAAATCTGCTCTGAATCGTCTCTCTCAAGTCATCCTTCCATCGGTGTCTCACGAGCCCACTGAACTCTACTTTTCGGTGCTTTCACTTATTCCAACTAAATGTGTTTCTCTCTGGCACCCACTCCTCTCCCCTGGCAAAATACGACGCTCAGGTTTCAGAGGAGAGCGATGACCTGCGTTGGCTGGTATTTGCCTAGGCACAAGGGGCAAAATATTTTTCACATTTGGAAAAATCAGTAAGGAGTTGTACTTGACAAGTAGAGAAACTTTCACACTAACACCTACTCACTCATTGTTTTGTGCTGAGTTTCTCAAAAGTAGGAAACGTTCTTTTAGGAACCTCACACCATCTTCCTCCATCCTCTGCTTTCTTCAGAGGATGCTCAGGGCAGTCTTGGCAGGACTCGTTTCTACTTTTCTGTTGGGGGCTGGTGAGGTCATAGACCAGGAAGACGAACTTCTGAGGCACCTCCTTAGAAATATTAACTAGCTCCTTCAGTGAGAAGCATCACCCAGAGGACAGCATGAATGAGTCAGAGTGAAAACATGGCTTTGGAGGCAAATAAGTGATGGGGTTAAAGCCCTCAGGTTGTCTCAGAGCAAAAGGAATATAGGTAACACGCCACCCACAGTGTTCCTCAGAGTGTAGGCACTAGGATAAGGCACTTGGGCTCCCTTTACTGGACAGTTCCCCACTTAAAAATTATGGGTTGATGCATCAGTTCTTGGGTTTGCTTTCTGAGCACCTCTAAATTTAAATGTAAAACACTGCTTGGGAAAATGCATGCAGAAGGCAGAGCATCTTTTTCTTGGGCTGTGTTCTAGGTGAGTGGAAACAGATGACTGTTGTGAGGTAAGTGATAAATTAAACTTCTCATTTGTCTGTTTCACCTGGATATCGAGTGTGGAGGCTGAGATCTAAGGATAAAGGTCGGCTTTTCCTCTAGAGTTTTCCATGAGTGGTCTACCAAAAAGCCAAGACGAGGGCTGGGAGCATGGCTCAGCAGTACAGCACATGCTTAGCATCTGCCAGGCCCTAGCTTTAATCCCCAGCACTCCTCATGGCCCCTAGCCCCGAAAGCCAAGCAGAAATGCAAGTCACTGATTGTGGAATGCCGACATGGATGAGAACTCTGCATGCTTAAAAGGTAGGGAAAGTTTGCTATTGAGAACAGAGCTTTGACCACAGATTTAAAGAAATAAGATTTTAATTCTCACAGTCTCATTGGATAAGGAAAATTAAAGGATAAAATAAGCTGTATACATGTTTACAAGTGCCATAGTCAAATATAATATTCTATACACAAATTGATTCAAAAAACGGTAAGATCTCAATAGGTAAGTGGGCAAATGATATGAATTTAAAAGTTGTGAAATTAGTCTACAGACATGAAGACCTTAATGAGAAATACAAATTGGGAAAAGAATACAATACTTTTTCTTGTAAGGTCAATTCAAATCATTTACCCTAATGATGCTGAATCTGTTCCTTATTTATTCAAGAAGAAAATATATTTTTGTAATGACAGATAGTATTGAGCCTATATCTGGGTCCTGAGAGATAGCCAGGGGAAAAGTATTCTTTTGTTCTCCAGTTGTTAGAATAGGTATACTTAACTGCAGTGATTTAACTCTGTGTGTGTGTGTGTGTGTGTGTGTGTGTGTGTGTGTGATGGGGCTTGAACCCAGGGTTTTGTGCATGCTGAGCTTGTTCTGTACCACTGAGCTACACTGTTAGGTTGTATGTGTTTTAAAGTCCAAAGTAAGATTAGTAGCCTCTTCCCTCCTTAAAAGTTACTATTTGCTTTGTTTCTTTCTAGTGCCAGTCTCAAGGAAACATTTCTGAGTGACTCACATGTGACTTCTGGTTTTCATCCATGGTTGAACATGAGCTTCTCTTACTTCTTGTTGGATATAAGCTGATTGATTTCACCTGTGAAGTCATAACTAAATATCCCTTGTTGGATTCCGTGTAAGCAAGCTTTAACTCTCCTATCCAGTAGCGTCAGTGTGTCTTGGGGCTAAACAGCTGAGCCCTTGACACTTTATGTCCCTGACCATGCCCCTTATTTTCTATTCCAGGTTCTTGCCTAAAAAATAAAAAAAATACTTCTTCATATAGCAGTGTATTACTGATCAACCCATCCAATGGATCAACTGCAAGGAGCTACAAAAAAATGTGTTTCAAAGGGTTTATTTTTATTTTTTATTTTTTATTTTTTTTGGTTTTTCTCCGGTACCGGGAACCGAACTCATGACCTTGCGCTTGCCAGGCAGGCGCTTTGCCGCTGAGCTAAATCCCCAGCCCCTCAAAGGGTTTATTAATAAGAGACTAAGGGATAAAGAAGTTCACTCCAGGGCTCTTAATCCAGCACCTTTCATAAGCACTAAGTTTATTGAAGCTAAATAACAATAGCATGTGACAGATTATATTTGTATGGGAAATCACAGAGAAAACAGCAAAGACACTGTAAATTGAATTTTTTTTCAGATAATGAAAGGTTCTACTGTATAGCCAAGCTACAGTCTATTACAACAAGTCATTGATTACTGCTCCAGCCACCCTCATTTCTAATTCCATTGGTGAAATAAATGACAGCCTTTGAGTTTGTCACTTTCTTGATATGCAGCAATAAGAATGGTGAATTACTCTAGCATTTAGAATAGCCAAGCTGATAAGTGTCCTTCCTCTTTGGCATCGCATGCTGCAAAGCTTTAAGTAGCAATAAGTGTAATAGCCATCTTCTCCAACATGTGCTACCAGCAGTTCTTGGGAAGGCTGAAGATGCTCAAATTCAAGCTGTTCTCGCCATTCACCCTGTGGTGAGCTGCAGCCGTGGGCCACCCCACACGGTTACTGTCCCCACTCAGCTTGGGCAGAAGTTGGTTTCCTCCAGGACTCCGCTGAAGCCAACGGTTGTAATTCAAATGACAGCATCGCAAGTGTCCTGAAAACCAACTGCCTTGTATTTCTAGGTGCATGTGTTGTAATGGCTGTCAAAGAGAAACAACCCGGCAGGTTATCTGGCTTCCCCATCTTCTCCAGGTGTAATGCAGTCATTCATTTTGCTCACTCTCTCTCTGTGCTTCAACCCGGGGGAGACCACAAACTGAAAAGTACACACTAATCTATTTTTGCTTTCTGTTGGTCTGTTTGTGGGAGTAATTGTTTCACACTCAGTGAACCACAAATGAGTGTCTGTGTGTATAAGAACTTTTTAAGAGAGTAGAGGGGCTATATTCTTTATGTGTTAGGGTATGAGCACTCTATATGTGTAGGAAGATGTATGTATGAGTGTATTTGCCACATTATTCACAAATAGTTTCATTCTTAATTCTGGGGGGGTGTAGTTCATATTGAATTTGTTTTAATTGAAGCCCATTACTAGTAGAACTACTCTGAGGTTGACCTAAATCTTTTCTCCAGGTGTTCACAGTACTGATTTGCATAACTAATCCCCTCTTCCCTGCTCCCCAAAGAGTGCACAGGGCATTGTCAGAGAGACTACTTTCTAAAATTTCTCAAGGATGGTATATAACTAAGACATTTCCAGATATATGGGAAAGAAGTTAATTCATTACATACAAGCATGCCCCGTGGGAAACTGCAAGACCATAGGTGCAAGTGTACACACATACACACACACATACACACACACACTACACACGGTGTACTAAAATATGGTACCCAGTGCATGAACATGCGAACTTTCTGGGGCAGGCCAATTTTCAAGCATTACTATGATTGCAGTTTTTTTGTTTGAGAAGCCCTCTGTGAAGCTCAGGTTACAACTTCTATGTGTCTCCAATTATTGATATTTTCTTTTCCAACCTTTCTCTTATAGCAGGAAAATAGGTTTTCTATGAGGCAGCCCATGAGTCTGCCCTGCCATAGAGTATGGAGTCCCTGACTGTAACCAAGGTCTCAAGAGAAATATTCTGTAACTGGATTAAACTTAAACTATTGGCATGCGGTTTTTCTATGTGGTTTACCAGGACATGCAATATTTTGAGAGCATAAAAAAATTGCTGACCAGTCACTGATAACAAGTGTAACTCGGTAAAATGAAATAATATAAGGGGCAATCACATATGATCTTGGTACAGCAGATCACTGGCCAGAGGCAGACAGGAATCGCTTCCTCGAGCAGAATGATGTTATGCAAGAACCAGAATTTGTGGAGGAGCCTGGAAGTCCCTAAGTTCTTGCCCAGAGCAGGAGGTCTTGCATAGGACAGTCAGGTAGAGTTGGAGGAGGCTCTGCCTTTGGTACTTTCTGAGCACGCAGGCAGATTTATATCTGACCCTCTGTGCTGGGGAGGACTGTGTTGTTATTTCTCTGACTTGCCCCCTTGTTGGTCTTACTCAAAAGTTGGTGACAGTGGTGATGAAATGCACTGTACCCCTCAGACTCATACTCTTTTGCCTTTGACCCTGATGTTTGGTTATATGAGATATTATTTTCTGAACAAAATCAGACACTATATAATATTTTGCATTTTTCTCAGACAGAAAAATAGAACAGATACTGTGATACCCTAGCTGCTGTTTTTTTGTTTTTTTTTTTTTGTTTGTTTTTCTCCGGTACCGGGAACCGAACTCACGACCTTGCGCTTGCCAGGCAGGTGCTTTTGCTGCTGAGCTAAATCCCCAGCCCCCTAGCTGCTGTTATTCTGAAATATATGGAATAGTTCTGTAGATTTACTTCTTTACCTTAACTCTGTCTACCTTAAACCAGTCTTTCTCAGCCTGGATTCCTCAAATGATGACAAAACCGCGTTGTTCGTGTGAAGACTTTCTAAATTTTTCTATAGATGGTAAGTAATTAAGATGCTTCTAAATGTCTTGGAATGAAGTTAATTCACTGCATAAAAGGATGTCCTATGGAAAACTGTAAGCCCACGGGCTGATACAGAGTTATCCAATGCACATTTTAACTTTCTGTGTCCTATAGCCTATGTTACCATCACCTATTGAAGCGTGAAAGCATTTAGTACACAGACCCCCATTTGTCCCCTGGTTGACTAGGATCTTCTGTTCAGAGTTCATCTCTTTTGAACAATGGCTTAGTCCTCTCCTTAAACCATTTCTTACCTGTTTGGCTTTATTGACACTCACCTGTCTCCTTTCCTGAACTCCGGTTCTGTATAGGGGAACAATGGGTGCTGTCAGGATCTTATCAGTAAAGGAAGATTATAGGAGTTAGTAAAAGGAAAGCCTTCAGTAGCAGGCCACTTAATGCTTAGTGTGCTGAAGAAATACACACTCAGAGTGTTTATAAGGCATAATTTAATGCAGGAGATTTCAGCACTCTTGGAAGTCTGGTGGAAAAGCAATGTTTTTATTTCATTATATTCATTAAATACCTAGTGTGTACATACATGGTAGATGCTAGACATGGCAATACAGTGATGCGTAGAACAAGTCTCATGTTCCCAAGTTTTTACCGTCAAGTTAGGAAGATGAATAAGCAAACAAATACAAACAAGCAATTTACAGACCACAACATGTAGGCCTTTCCTAAAGCCCAGGAAAAGTCATGGGTGAGATAGCTGGGGTGGGAGGAGTGGTTTGCACCTAAAACCAAGTTGAAGAAGTTTTTGAGATCATCTATGTAAGAAAAAACCTGAGCACCTGACCAAAGCACTAATAAAAAGAAAAGGAAAAACTAGCATGGATATTGATTGATTTAAGATATAGATCGATTGATGAGTGAGTGACAGAATATGGAAGGTAAGGATAACTCAGGAAATAAGGAAGTAAGGATAACTCAGGGATTTGTGGTCCAGGACAGCCTGGAAGGAGCGGGCAGCCGTGGAGGAGAAGGGAATTCCTGGAGCAGTCGGTCCTCGAGCAAAGAGGGGAAAGTTCAGTGCTGACTGTGAGGAGCCACGTGCCTCTGTGGTGGAAATAGTGAGCCACAAGGCTATGACGTTCAGAAGGAGGTTACTGAGGGGATATCGATTTGGGAGTCATCAATATCATCGGCATTGGTGGGATTTTCAAGGAAGAACGGACAGAGAAGAACAGAGGTGTGAAGGCTGTCCTGAGAAAGCCGAAGTCAAAAGAAGAGGGGGACACGGAGGAGCAGAAAGGCAAAAGGCTTCGCAATGAGAATACCCAGCCCACATAAATCTGTCAGTTAGCAGTTCTCTGCAAGCAATAGTCACTAGCTGTGTAATTCCCCCGGGGCAGAGGCCGTCCTCTTTGTCTTAGTATCCCAACATCTTGTACTGCTGCCTACACAGTAGATGCCCAGTCATGTGCTGACTGGGGAGACGCAGGTGCTCATGGAGGAGGCAGTGAGCAGAGTGTAGCCAGCAGCATAACGTGTTCCAGGAGGAGGCTGTCTATGTCCACTGTGTCAGAAGCCACCAAAAGGGAGGCAAGGTAAGGACTGAGAAGTGCCTGTTATGTCTGCCAATTAGTAGGCCGTTTGTGACAGCGGAGACAGAAATTTCAGAGGAGTAGCAGGAGTGGAAGCCGGAGTGCAGAAGGCTGAGCAGGAAAGCATGGCGGCAGTGAATTTCCCCACTACTTGTTTCAAGGAGCTGGAAGGGAAGAACGCCATGTGCACCAGCAAATGGCTGGTGCCCCTGACATTGCACGAGGGGTTGAAAGGGACAGCTTCAACAGGTCATGTGACTTCCAGGTCACGTGACTTATCCTCAGCCAGGCTGGGAATCCCACGCCTGAGCTGGAGCTTGCTGCTGTGACCTCTCCAGCATCAGTTGTTATCAGTTGTTATCAGTTACGGTGCTTCATACATTGCTTCTGGCTGACAAAATGCATCAATTTTAACTGTTGGACTTTCATGAACTTGGGAGGAAAAGAGGAGAGAAAAAAAAGGAACAAAACAAGGGTTGCTCATGAAGATACATGATTCCTGGGATAGTTTTATCCCCTTTTCCTGCGTATCTTGAAACGTTACATATTAGTTCCAAACTGTCAACCAAAAATGTTGTCTCCTAACCTCCAACTGGTTGGTGATAAACTTATTAAGGAATAATCTTAGGCAATATAAAGTTAAATGTCCAAACATAGTTCCCCTGAGGGCCATTAGATTATGTTTATTGAAAACAATTTATATCAATAAACCATCATGACAAAAGTAAAAATGACTATATGAGCAAAACAAAACAATTTCCTCTTCAACTCTTTTTACATTCGGGAAGAAAATAATGCTTAGACCTAGGGAAAGTTTTTATTTTAATACTTAAAACTTTTAAAAGCATAATCAGGACAGCTAATCTGTTAACTATAGACATTTAGTTAATTAATAACAATTTTAAAACAGTGGTTTATTTGATTTAATATTATATATCCATTGCCACCACAACTTTAATAGTGGATAATTTGAGATATCTCTATAAATCAAAGCTTGGGGAATTATTTTAAAGAGGTTTCAATATTTATTGCTTGTCTAGGCTTATCCTAATTGAAAATGATTTGAGATCAACCACTTTAGAATTAATAGCTGATTCATTTCAATGTGAAAACGCATCAGTTTTTCATGTTAAAATCCCTACCTGGAGAACGGACTGAAGGAGTTGAAAGGGTGATTTTGTGCTATAGCATATTACTGGAGGGTCTGATTAGCTGAGTTAGTAGAATAAGTTTTTTTTGTTTTTGTACTGCATTTTTATTGTAAGATAAAAATGTATGTGTGGATGAAAAGTGGATAGTGGATAGAATTCTTGAAAAACTCAACTTTCTTAAAGCTTTTGAAAATATATTTTCAGGTTACACTGCTTGTACTTTCTTTTTTAAAGGAAAAATCACAACATTGGAACAAGGTATTGACTGATTGTCATATACCTCCTTGTATACTGAACGCCCATGGTTATTTAATCATTTCCTTTCTTTTTAACTTTACATTTATTTGAAAACTACTTATAACCTCCAAGAGACTGTGTTAACTCCATTCCACGTTACATGATCTACCTACTTATCCATTTATCCAGCTTTTTCTTTCTCCTTCCTTTCCAGATTTATACTAAAGAAATACAGAATTTATTTCTCAACATAAAAGTTAACCTGTTTGTTGACATGATTTATAACGGCAGCTGTCTATATTTTTTAAAATCCAGTCTTCATTGCCCTAAATTAACATGTGGTTAAGGTCTAACCACAGCTCTCACAAAGCCCAGTTTCCCAGGCCTGCTCTGTTTTACATTTTTGTTTCCTTGCAGTTTCTCACTGCGGCCATGCAAGTGCACTGGCATGAGCTCACCTCCTCAGAGAAGGGGGTTTCGGGAGCGGACTGAAGACTGGGTGCCTGACTGCAGGGCTTCCAGCTGCGGCGAAGGCGTGATTCATGCCCGATGGTACTTTCCGCAGGTGGAGGGCGGGCGCTGTCTCTGCATGCTTCCATCCCCGTGCAGGTCTGGGAGCCAAACTCCGCCCTGCCCACCTATTTAGCCACAGGCTGCACGGACCTGCTCAGGTGTGCTTTGGAAAGAGCAGCGGGGGGATTGCTCCTAGATGTCTCCCCACTGTCCCCTGTGACCCCTGGACACTCTCCTCCCGGGTTTGAGGTGGTTGGTTCAACATTTTTTCTTTAACCCTTGCAGGTCTGCTCAGAGGGAGAGGAGCATTTATTCAATCCGGCCGTGTGCATCTGGATGCCTGTTGTGAGGAGCGAAGTGTTAGTAACCAGACCGGGATGGATTTAGTCGCCAGCGTTACACACGCAGAACATCTGTTGTGCACCAAGAACGCGATGGGCACTGTGGGTACCAAGTGAGAACACAGCATCTGCTGCCCAGCCGGTCTCACGGCGTAGGAGAGAGAGTAAAACTGCTCATAGCTATCAGCAAAAGAGCACTAATTTCATGCTGCAAAAGTGACACAAGCTGAGCGCTGAAGGCGCGAGAGGTGGTGTCCGTGGTGAAGGAAGCTCAGGGAGGAGAATGAGAGAAGGCTTCCTGGAGGAGGCGGTATTTGGACTGGTCCTCAACAAACACACAGAGCTGTGCTGACAGAGAAAAAGCAGACAAGCTTTCCAGGTTTTCTGAGAAAGCAGCAAGTGTCACTAAAGCAGAGAGTATGAGGAGAGAAGGTGGCTGGGTAGATTCAACACAGCATCTTCCGTGAAGATTTTGGTGACCAGTTGAGACCTGGGACAAAGTGCTGTAACATTTTGCCATCAAATGTCACTCTTGTACAAAGAGTGACACCGCTGCAAGAGAATGCTGAATATTAAAAAGCAGAATTTTCAACTTTTCCGTTCAGGTTTCAGTGGAGGTCAACAGTAGACGAGAAACTCTGACACACATAATAAACCGTTCGCTGTAAGAAAGCTGCCTTGTACGGTTACTCGCTCTTCAAAAGGGAGCTACAGGACAGAATACAGAAATGGCTAAGTAATTAGCGCATGTGTTTAAATCAGTAAGCGTAACACTGTCAGACTCCAACAGAAATACAGTGTAAGCTCAACTCTGTACCCCTAAAGGTGTCACAAAGCCAGTACTAAGGGAAAAGAATCTCTAATGGGTATCAAGATTTTTATCTAGTGCTTGCTGATTGTCTTGTGCAGCATTAGAAGTGCTGATTTTGAGGACCCCACTATACCACCCTTGTTGCCTTTCACTATGAGTTTTCTAGCCTAAACACAAGCATGCCTTGTGTCCCTTACAGACACATGAACAGAAAAGCCTTCTGGTGAAAGACATGTGGTTCTGGCTTTGGACTGCAAAGGAAGCCCATGTCATCTTCTACTTGGGGCTCTTGAGGACAGGATGGATGTGGTCTGGGATAGTGTGGGCCTGCCTGGGGTCAGGTGCTCATTGAGGAAACCCCTGGAGCTTTTGAACACTCTTATTCCTTGTGATCTCAAGAGTCTTCCTTAGGTACCTAAGCTTCTGCTAGGTTCCTAATCCTCTGCTCTCCTGTGGATACTTTCAAGAGTGCTGCAGGGGTGCATGAGCCACAAACCATGTTAATAGTGACCTTGCTTCCCTAGCAATTGTTGGCTTGTGTCCTCCAAAGGAGATGAGGGAAGGGAAAGCGGGAAACATTGTTTCTTTAATTTATATTTGCCGTACTGAGGATTGAACCCAGAGAGCTCTGAATATTTTTTTAAATTTTATTTTTAAACATGAAAGGGGGCTGTTATGGTGTATGTCTGGATGTCCCTGCAAAAGCCTCATACAGCTATGGGGTGGGCTTCTGGAGTATTTGATTGACTCCTGGTCCAGTGCTGGGATTAAGGGTGTGAATGCTACATCCGCCCTAGGGTGGGCAGCCTGTGTACAATAATGGAGGGAAAGAGGTTGCTTGCTGCTCCTCTCTTTTGCTATTATTGTTTTTGCTGTGTTCTGTGGCCATGAACTGTTGCCCTCTGCCATGTGCCACTCCGTCTTGGAGCCAGCCGAGTATGGACTGAAACCTCCACATACTGTGAGCTAAATAAACCTTTCCTTCCTTAATTTTAGGTGTCAGGTATTTTGTGCCAGCAACGAGAGAAAAGTAACCAAGACAGAGGCCTCACTAACTTCTACAGAACGAGACTGAACTTGTGGTGCCTCCTGGGTGGCAGGGATTGCAGGTGTGTGCCACCACATCTGGCTAGGAAACCTTTATTCTGCTTCTCTCCTTAACAGATCAGGAACCACCAAGGAAATGGCAAATCATTACAGCATAAGGTTTAATTCTCATTTTCACCACTTACTCAGGTCAGTGAAGGAGCTACTCAAAGTTGTTTCCTCACTTTTAACACAGGAACAAAAATAACAGTGATCCATCTACTAAGATGGGTGGAAAGATTAAACAATATAATGAATTTAATACCTGGTAGTGAAAGCACATGTGTAAGTGTGCATGTGCACCCGTGTGTGTGTGTGTGTGTGTGTGTGTGTGCATGTGTAAAAGAGAAAGAGATGGAGACAGGCAGAAAGACAGAGAGACAAAAAGAGTGAGACAGCTGATCGATGATAGAGTGAGAGAGCTGACCAGTGATGGAGTGAGGGAGCTGACCAGTGACGGAAAGAGGTCTTTGCCCAGGAGTTTAGGGCATGGAAGTAGCAGGAAGGAGCTGTAGGCTGCAGGACCACAGGGCTCGGGAGGAAATGTGATGCAGGTGGCTGATGCTGTGGCTTGGGTATGGGCTCTTGCTGCCAGGAATTTAGCTCAGCAGCACAGTTCCTGCCTGGCAAGTGTGAGGTTGTGAATTCAGTTCCAAGTACAAAAAAAAAAAAAAATGGATATGGGCTGTAGGGTGTCTCCTGGGTGTTCAGGTATTGGAAGTTTGGTCCCCAGTGTGGTAGAATTACTAGGTGATGGAACTTTAAGAAGCGGGGCCTGATGGCCGGTAATTAAGTCTTTGGGAGTCCACCTTGTAGCTCTAATGGGACTCAGAGTTAGTTCTTACAAGAGTGAATTGTCACAGGCAGCAGGTCTGGTCCCCAAGTCCCTCTGTCTTCCTGTCTCACCACATCATTATGATGACATTTGCCCGCAGGTCCTTCTCAGAGACTGAACCGACAGGGCTCTTCAACCTTGGACTTTCAGCCTCTGAAACTTTGAGCTCCATAACCTCTTTTCTTTATAAATACCCAGCCTCTGGTATTTTAGCATAGAGATGGAAAACAGAATAATACAACTGCAAGTGGTGTAAATTTGTAGGTGAAAAAGTCAAAGGCAAGAAGCTCTTCATGTTTTCATATCACCATTTGCATGTTGCCTTTGCATGAAGCTTGATTTGAATGTTCACTAGGAAGGGCTGCATCCTCAGCCCAGATGCAACATCTCTCTTCTCTGTGTCCCCCTAGGAGCACTTACCTGTGTCCCTCTTGCCTTCCATGACCACAGATGGCCTTGTACTGCCTGGAAGACCACTGTAGGTACTGTGGGTGTGAGAACTGTGTCCCTTTGGTTCTAGTACTAGTTTTGCTTCATACCAGCTAAATGCTGTTGGGAGAGTCATTTGACTTCTTTTTTGGTCATGCTTCTTCTTCTATAAAACTAAACAGCTAGGCTAAATGTCCTAAATTACTGCTTAGCAATTAGTCACCGAAAAACACATATTAAGTATCAACAATAGAGCAGGCTGTATTCATGGCTCTGGGGATGCAACCATTAGCAAACAGGCAGCATTCCTTGCTCTTGCAGAGTTTACTAGTTGAGAATTGGTTCTATCACTTTCAGTGGCCTTCCACCAGCCATCTAAAGCTTGTCCTGGCCTGATCCTGCACCCTGGGATGGCAAAGACTCAGCTGAGTATCTGCCAGCTCAGGGATTCAAGGTTGCACCTGGAAGACTGAAAATTGCCGGGAGCTCTTTTTGGCATCACCTGAGTGATACCTCCAAATCCACTCACCCTGGGTCCTCGCCTCCCTCTCATTACTGCAGAATAAGACAGCTCCCGTCCCTTGCGGTTCCCTTTCTTGCAGATGCTGTACCTATTTGAATGGCACCAGAATCCATAGGCTACAATGGAAAATATGACCACCAGCATCCCTTGGGGGGATGTGTGGTGAACCAATCCAGTGCAAGCTTGTTTTCCAAAGCAATAATTTTCCTTGTTAAAAGGGAGAGAGAGAGAGAGAAAGAGAGAGAGAAAAGTTTTGAGATTTCTAAAACTTCTCTGTGTATCCTCTGAAATCAAATTAGACATTGTGGCTTAGTCCGGGACAAGGTGGCCAATCACAACATCTCATGGCTTGTGGCCATTCGGCAATGTAGCGTTACACTGAGCTGTGAAACTTGTTGCTGGCACTATCTGACCTTTAGCTGGTAAGCTGGAATTGCTTTACGTCTCGCTTCCACCAGACTAATAGCACTTTTGAGTCCAGCTTAGGTTATCGCTTGACCTCCCTGAAATCCATTTCCAAGGTAAAAAGGAAGCCTAATTGGGAAAAATTCCATTTTTAATGAAACAAGTCTCAAACAAATCTGATGTCAGATTTTCCTATGCCACCCCTGTTCACCTGTTAACACTGGTGCCTGGGCACTTGGTCAGAGTGAAATGAGTAGGGTTTTCTGGCTACTTCTGGGCTTTGGGGGCTCATTGTGTATTGAATTGTGTAGAGTAGCAGAAGGGGTCTGCTGTGCACACGTTATTATTATTTTTGGCTTCTAGTTTTAAGCCTGTATAATTAAGGCTCTAAAGTAGCAAAAAATTTGTGAAATCTTAAAAGTCGCCAGTTTCTGCACTCACAACAAAATGAAGGAAGTCCTTACAAGTCTATGTCTATAGGTACTTCGGTGTGGGTAATTTACATGCTTTAGAAAATTGGATTCTGCCCCATACTAAATATATTTTCAGTAATCCAGGCCTCTTGACACCTGTCAGAGCACACATGAGTCTGGCCAAGTTTTCTGCAAGCTGAGAAAGCTGTCCAACTAGCAGAAGCCCAGGGACTTCAGTTTTGGTGGAAGGATACCAAGGCTCAGATTGTAGGTAGTGCTATACTAGCAGGGCACTGGGGACCTCTGGGCCAGTCAAATCCCTCCTCTGTCTTTGTAAAATGCTGTGAGCCTAAGCTAAAGGCCCCCATCCCCACTGGCCCAGTAACAACAGTCTGAGAATCTATGGACCTTAGGATCCTAGGGTTAGCTTGTCCCTATTAAGTGTCTTTGAGGTCAACTTAGTTGCTGACATGGCATTGGTAGTGATGGACAGGGTAAGGAAAAGATTTTTCCTGGCTGGGAGTTTATAAGAACAAAGCACAAAATATACCCACCAGCTTCTAAACAAAAGCAGCACCATGTGTCTTCAAAGTTTTGGTCCGTAACTAACATCAGAATCCTGTATTTGTTTTCTCTCAAAGATCACTCTTAGTGGAATCAGTGTCCTCAAGTCAAGCTGCTCTGTGGAAGCCACAGCCCACACGGCAGGCAATTTAAGAACATTCTAATTTTTATTTTGTGATTAGCTTAGTGTTTACCTTGCAGATAGAAACAGCTAAAGCGAAGTGACACTTCGGAAAGACATACTGTGCCATATATCAAAATTGCCTCAAAAGATTTTGAAGATGAATTGAGGTTTTATTATGTGAATCTTCATTTAGGCTCTGGCTCTTGTTAAAAACAAAACAAAGCAGAAGAACAATGACTGGGACGTTTGGAGAAGGTCCGTGAAAACAATTTAAGTTTACAAGTAAATAAATAGTTCGCGGTTGAAAATCCTCTATGAGGATAATGAAAAGTGACTTAAATAAATCAGAGATGGAAGAAGCTTGTTTTACTATGGTTTTCCAAAGGATGATTTTCTTACTTTCTTTCCTTCTGGATTAAATGTTCACATGACAGTAACATGAATAAAAAATCATATATGCCCA